TAAACATTTTATCAACTCTCAGCTACAAAAAAAAAAAAAAAAACGAGCAAACAAACTTGTACAATATTATGATGGCAGTGCATCAAAATTCAATGTCATCAGTTTGCCAAAAAGAACACAGAACGTTTTACACACCATTTACACGTGGCAGGGAGCAGGTGTACATTTCTTTGGTCCCAACTAACATTTTGAAAATACGAACACTTTCATGAATCCGAAAATTTACGTCAGAACAGCTTTACGAACGATTTACACAAACTTATTCTGCTCGCGTTTCATGAATGATGCCCAATGTATTTTTGCCTATTGCTACAAATTTACCTGTGTTACTTCAGACCGGTTTTGTGCTCCAGGGACACATATGACTTTACTTGGTTAATCATGGAATTACGGTATATTGATGCTTTTTCTTTTGTGCTAATACACAAAAGAAGATTTCGATTATAATGAAACCTTTGCTTTTAAAGAGGCTTTTAGTTTCTTTTTCAGACGTAGTAATTATTTGTACATAAGAGTAAGAACTTTCTAAATATTTCTCTGCTGGTCAGAGAAACATTTTCAAATCACACTTTAGTGTGCAAGACATGTAAGCCTTTTTCATTTATTATACATATTCAAATGTTAGCCACTCTTTGTGTTTACATATTAACACACATTACTGATCACATGCAGTCGTTTAGGGGGTGGCGAGGTGCCTTTCTGATTAATGGCCTGTGCAGTTTCATCATTTGGGTGAATCTCGCAAAAAAAAAAACATGTCTGGTACACCCCAAAATCAAAAATATTAGATATTATATTTTGCTTGATTGGATTTAAGCACCATTTAAGTTTTTTTTTTTTGCACTGTAACATTATTTTCATGACAATTAAGCTAATTTCCCCTATAGATACACATTACTGTCATGGATTTGGAGTTTCTTTTTTTTTTCTTTTTTTGTAATTCTCATTATTCTTAATAATATTAAGTAATTTTATTACTTTATTATGATTATTAATTATTATTAATATTATTGTTTTATTTTTTATAATATTAAAATGTTATAATATTATTTGTTTTAATAATATTATACATTTTAAGTAATTTTATATTAAATAAAAAAGTAATTTTCAATTTTCAGCTATAGTAGTTGTTTTTCAGTATTTTTTTAAAATTAAATAAGCATTAATTTAAGACAGCACAACAAATACTTGTTTATAATTTAAATAACGTATCTTCTTTTTTATTTTTATTACAGATATGAGAATTGGTATAATAATTTAAATGTTTCATATAAAAATGTGTAATATAATAATGTCATCAAAATTGTCAACTAAAAAAAAATCTTAATGGTGCTAAAAATATTTAGTTTCTTTCAGATTGAAATATGACACTGTATAACACGTTCCAGACAGGTTTTTTGAGATTTTCCTTCACCCAGTTATCTGTTTACATTATTTACCCAGTTAATCGCATTGTCATCTGTGCTACTTTGTCAGTCATGTCTTATATATTGGCACCTTGAGGGATATTTATTTTTAAACTAGATGTGTCATTTTCCATGCACATTGCAATGTTTTACAGACTCCATTGTCACAAATTTGATTATTAATATCAATGTTCCCTCTACATTTAATACTTAATGTATCAGGGTGAAATTAAAAGTCGGCGTCTATAATTATGACAAAGCAACCAATGTTTCTGAATCCATGTTTTGTTTATAATGACTTAATGCAGAGGTTACGCATACCTTCCTACACATACTTGTGGTTCTGTGTGTCTCAGTTGCTCTACCTTTAAAATAACTCTGTCGGCTTTATATTTACAACATTTCCTGTTTTGATTGTATCAAGCAAATCCTTTTTTATTGGTGATATATTTATAATAAAAAGATCAATGCAATGAAAAACTTGTTATGCATCATTAATGTAATTGCGTGTTGTGATTGCATTTTTATTTGTAAGATGAAATCATATGCAAATTTTGAAATGTTAATACACAAACATTTGCATGCAGCATTTCATTTAACTACACTACTGTTCAAAAGTTTGGGGTCAGTAAAGCTTTTTTAAAGAAATTTTTATTATTCGGCAAATATGTATTAATGATAAAAATGTGACGGAAAAAAAACATTTACAAATAAAATCTGTTCTTTTGAACTTTTTAACCAAAGATTCCTGTAAAAAGGATTAATGGTTTCCACAAAAATATGAAACAGCACTGTTTTCAGTCATCGAAATAAGAACTATTTGAAATAAGAGTGATTTCTGATGGACTGGAGTAATGATGCTCGAAATTCAGCTTTGCATCACAAGAATGAATTACATTTTTAAATATATTTATGTAGCCTATTCGAAAAATATAAATCGATTTTTGATCAAATAAATGCAGTCTCAGTGAGAAGAATAATAAATCGAGGAATAAAAATCTCACCAGACTTTTGAATGGTAGTGTATATTGCATTCACGTCTAGCCCAACGTTTCATCATTTTTTAAACTGGTATTTGTACCATCACTGATTTAATCATGATTATGATTACAATACAGATGCTTTATTTGAATCAAGTATTCTGAATACACTCATATGATCGCATATGATGCTAAAAATCCCTGTGCAGATGCAAGTGCAAATGCCGTGGTGCTTGGCTTGTTATGTTCTCCATGGGTGAATATGTAATTCACAGGGCGCAGCCGCTTGGTCTTAGTGGGATTCCTTTTCTCTCTGAACAGTTTCTTAACCAGCCTGGGCTGCCAAAACTGCATCGACTACTTCACGTCACAGGGACTCCAGAGTGTCTACCACCTTCAGACTCTTTCCATGGAGGTAAACCAACAGTTCAGTCAATACACTCTTTCATTATTGGGTCGTTCATGTTTTATCCTGTTCTCCATTCATTTTGTCCCGTAGGGATTTTAAAAAAGTCACTAAAAGTTAAAAGCTATGAACAGTGCTGGGTAGTAATGTAGTCTGGATTACGTAATCAGATTTAAAAAATTCAGTACTTGTAATTAATTATATTACATTTTAAAATGCTAATAATCAGATTACAGTTACTGTTTAATGGATTACATATTATTCACATAATGGCAGTAAATTATTCAAAATGTATTGATTCTCCTTAATTCTTTTTTTTCTTTCGTTGAAATTTTCCCTTCTAAATTAACCTACCACTTATATACATTTTGGCAACCTCTACTGTAATGTAATGTTTAATGCATTTCATGATGTTGATAACAAAGAATGGATTTTTTTTTATCAATATGGTACACAATAATCCCATTTAAGTCTGTAATAAACTAATTAGGTCAAAAGTAATCTAAAAGTAATAAAAAAAAACAAAAAACATCAACATTAACTAATATGTGTAATTCAGATTATGTTACTAACTCATGTAATTTGTAAATGGACTACAGTTTGTAAGTAATCTACCCATCACTGGCTATGAACTAAACCAATCAGTTACGAGGAGAATAACAACATTACAAACTTTGATTTGAAGCAAAAATCCAAATTTGAAACTAAAAAAGTATTTGAAAAAAAAATATACAAGACTGTGCTTATTGGTTTTAGTGAAGGAAATGAACTACAATCCCATGAAGCATTGCATATAACATAACTGAATTAAAAAGTATGGTAAAATATAAAAATACAAATTTAAACTTGGTAATTATATCTATAGAAACAGCCTATTTTAAGTTTATTGCAAAACACACACACAAACACATACGTATACATACAAATTAGTGCTGTCAAACGATTAATCGCGATTAATCGCATCCTAAATAAAGTTTTTGTTTAAGTGCTGGGTAGTAATGTAGTCTGGATTACGTAATCAGATTTAAAAAATTCAGTACTTGTAATTAATTATATTACATTTTAAAATGCTAATAATCAGATTACAGTTACTGTTTAATGGATTACATATTATTCACATAATGGCAGTAAATTATTCAAAATGTATTGATTCTCCTTAATTCTTTTTTTTCTTTCGTTGAAATTTTCCCTTCTAAATTAACCTACCACTTATATACATTTTGGCAACCTCTACTGTAATGTAATGTTTAATGCATTTCATGATGTTGATAACAAAGAATGGATTTTTTTTTATCAATATGGTACACAATAATCCCATTTAAGTCTGTAATAAACTAATTAGGTCAAAAGTAATCTAAAAGTAATAAAAAAAAACAAAAAACATCAACATTAACTAATATGTGTAATTCAGATTATGTTACTAACTCATGTAATTTGTAAATGGACTACAGTTTGTAAGTAATCTACCCATCACTGGCTATGAACTAAACCAATCAGTTACGAGGAGAATAACAACATTACAAACTTTGATTTGAAGCAAAAATCCAAATTTGAAACTAAAAAAGTATTTGAAAAAAAAATATACAAGACTGTGCTTATTGGTTTTAGTGAAGGAAATGAACTACAATCCCATGAAGCATTGCATATAACATAACTGAATTAAAAAGTATGGTAAAATATAAAAATACAAATTTAAACTTGGTAATTATATCTATAGAAACAGCCTATTTTAAGTTTATTGCAAAACACACACACAAACACATACGTATACATACAAATTAGTGCTGTCAAACGATTAATCGCGATTAATCGCATCCTAAATAAAGTTTTTGTTCAACCCCTTTAAACAAAACTTTTCCAGAATTATTATTTTTTTTTTTTCAAAAAACTTAATTCTGTATGATTTATAAGCTGTTTTCCTCATGGGGACCAATGAAATGTCCCCACGAGGTCAAAAATGACTGGTATTGCTATCCTAGAAATGATTCACCAAGGCCGTTTTATTCTACCATGAAATAGTAGCGTGGCCTTCACTGTAAGATGCACTCTTGTGTTCCTCAGGACCTTGGGGCGCTGAGGATCCCTGAGCAGTTCCGGCTGGCGATCTGGAGGGGCCTGCAGGACATGAAGCAGGGCCACGATTACGGCCAGCAGTTCATCCGCTCTGGCAGTAACATGGCCACCATGGCCCTCGGCGCCGGAGGAGAGCTGCAGCGGCAGCGCGTCATGGAGGCCGTGCACTTCAGAGTGCGGCACACCATCACCATCCCCAACCGCAGCGCCCCCACAGGAGCGGAGGAGTGGGCTGACTTCGGCTTTGATATGCCCGACTGCAGGTTACACAAGCACTCCATTAAGGAGGAGTTCGCAGAAAGCGACGTTCACTGAGAAGGACCGCGCATCCATCGCTTTCCATGCATCGTAACCATATTGATTTCTTTAAACTGCGATGGACAGTTTACATTTCCATGTAGTAGCACTTCCATATTTGACAACAAGGGATTTGAGGAGTAAAAAAAAAACTATTCGCTTTTATGAAGACCAGGGTTCAAATGAATCATTTTATTTAATTGATTATCATTTGTGGCCTTATGCTAATATCACATCACACAAAAAATGATCCATTAGCTAAAAGAAATAATATTATTAGGACGCAGTTATGAACAGTTAAAAGCAGTGTATGATTTCAGAACATTGCCTTATTAATTTCGGCTCGGTGTAAATAATAATTGTGCAGTCATGTATTGAATAACGTGTGAAGTAATGCCCGTAGATCGAGTGGATGCTTGACCCACCACAAAATCATACTTTATATTTACTTATTTTGAAAAGCGCAGGTTTCTCGAAGCCAGACATGTACAACTAGATCAAAAGGCATTCTGTATTTGAATTATTTTCTCATTATAAGTTATACCTATAATTAGTTAATTTTTCATCAAAGTTTTACAATAATATTGATGAAAACAACACCATAAAAGTGAATTTAATTCATTTTTTAATTATTAGCATTTTTATTTAAACTAAGACATTTTTTGAAGTGGTGCTTTACACTGCAACTTTTTTATTTTATTTTATGAATTATGTGTTAAGTATTATGTTATTGACAGGGAGACACTGGATCATCATAAGGGTTGTCAGAATTGTAAAGTTTTGTGGTATTAGCCTTGCAGGACAAGGTTTTATTTATCATGCTGTACTGATATAATGTCTATTTTTTCCTTTAGCATATGTAATCACTGTCTTGTTAGTTTGTTTTAAATGTCTCTAAATGTATGATGTTTTTATGTAAAAGTAAAATTATGGCTCAGCCAAGGTATTAAGGTGGCATTTCATCCCCAAATTGCAAATATATATATATATATATATATATATACACACACACATTATGATTTTTACATTATGATTTTATTTTATGAGAACGTAAATGCATTTAAAAAAGGAAATGTATTAAATATATTTTTTAAAAATCAACAAAGCACAACAAATAAGAATTTTGGAATAAATGTGCTAAATTGTAAACAAAAAAATAAATAAATAAAAACAATTAAAATCGGTCTTTAATCAAAATGTTATTTTATTTTTTTATTTTGGGGCTGAAAAAAGTATATACCTATACGTAATTTTGTGAGTTTCACCTCTTCAACACAAAAGAACAAAAACTATGTACTGTTTCAAAACCTAACTCCACTTTAATATCGCTTTTAACATTGCTAGTACTAAGACGATGACAAAGTTTGAAGTACTTTTGTTCAGCAGACCCAACACAATTATTTTTGTCTGGTTTTCCAAGTGTTGTTCAGGTGAAAGATACTAGAGGAAAGTGTTTCAGACAGAGCCGTCATCCAGGAACAGTGTCTTCTGTGGTATATAAGAAATGTATTTATATTTCTTACACCCATAAAGACTGTGTATGAAACTGAACTAAGGGCCATCTTGATCATTAATGATTTGGTGGATTGTATGTAGTCAGAGCTACATTTGTCACCTTTATTTAACAAGCAAATGCATTTGTAAATAACTAGTTGTTACACATATAACTCCTTGTTGTTCGTGTGATAAGAACAGCACATTTCAGACTGAGTCCCAGGAGGTTAATCGAGGAAAAACTGCTGATTTAAATTGGCCGTGATGGTGAAATACCATCATATAGATCAAAGCACTTTATGGCTTTAGGATATTGTAAACAATGTTATATCCACAGTTAATATCAGTCAGTATTATGTCATGCTGTGTCATTTATACAGATTTTAGAAATGTTTTTAAGAGTTATCTTGTGTTTCATTAAAGAGCTGTAACGCTGTTTCTTTTTTTTATATTGCCACGTTTGAATGCTGTAAAGTGATTTCTTTTTCAAATAAATACTAAAGTGTGCAAAATGAGGGTGTTTTAATACAAGATCAGTAACTGTTGAGGATGTTTAAGAACAAGAATGTGTCTGTTGTCTGGTCTCTGCTGGATTTCAGGCATTCTGAGCATGTGATTTTTTACACCTATTTAGGATCAAGTTGAGACGACACTTTATTACTTATTGTTCGAGACTTTTGCGGGTTCTGAATGAAGAATAAAGCCCCGTTCACACCAAGAGCGATAACTATAAAGATAACGATATTAGCGTCCACACCAACGAACGATATCGTCTGTTTATTCTAAGCGCACGCAATTCTCGAGCTCGTTACAGCAGGATGGATTCTGATTGGCTGTCAGTGTTTTATCGTTCATCAGCTGGAAAAAAATCGTTTTGAAAGTGATTCCAACGATATCGTTTCTCTTTGTCTTTATCGTTATAGTTGTGGTGTGGACTCTGCTATTATTTAATACTGAGAACGATTTTTAGAACTATATCTTTATCGCAGGCACGTGCACACATAGACATCAAAGGGTGCTTGAGCACCTGCCCTTTTTCTTCCTCGAGAGAATGTGCCCTTTTTTCTAGGGAGTGTTCTTTTTTTTTTTTTTTTTATGAATATATGTGCGCGTGTGTTTCTGTTTGCGAAACACAGCTTTCCCTGTCAAACAAATAAAAAATCAAAATAGCAGGTCGGGTTTATTAAGTTGAGTTGAGTTGCCTTTCTCCGCGTCTTTCCAGTAGTGTTTGTCTTGCTGTGGAGGTGATGAACAAAAGACTAAGCTACCTGTGCCTCGAATTTACAGCTAACGTTATTTAAAATATTTTATTTTTTTCATTTTTAGTATCTTAAGTTGTTAAAAACTCCAGATTATTTTTTTTATCATAATATTTATATTTAAGTGTATTGTATTTATAAAAAATTTTTTGTCATTAATTCTTTTGTAGGTTTATCATTTTGTATTGTCTTAAGTTGTCCAAGTTGTTAAAAATGTTATTTTTCTTAATAAAAGCTGTATGTATGGATTGCCATTTTGTTGTCTATTAGATGTATATATGTAGTCGTTTAATAGCCGTCTAATTGATGACTAGTCTATAAATGGGCTATGATTAGACGTCTATTCGATTTTCACTGACAGCCCAAATTTAGCCTCATTTTAGCCTAGACGGCTAGGCTATATTTAGACGTCTAATAGAGTCTTTTAAACGCAAAATTGCTTGCTGGGATGTAAAGTCAGTGAAAGTGATTTTGTGCCTCTTTGGGATGGCACAATAATGCGCCTTTCCCATTAAGAAACAAACTCATCTACATCTTGAGTGCATTTCCAGCACATGTGGATCTGTGTGAACAGAAGTAACTGGGTTTCAGGCCGGAGGTCCAGCACAGGGAGCGATGTGTTCCGCGCGCGGCTGCTCTGGTCTGGTCTGCTGCGGTTAACAGAAGCACTGACGTGTTCACAGAGCAGCAGCGCGAGAGTGACACAGCGGCACAACCGGGTAAGAGAAACACCATTCCTCTCATCTTACTCCTGTTCTGAACCTCTCACAGGCACCTCGACTCCTCGAGTATGCCAACTGCCCGTCTAATTCTGTCGTCCTCCAGTGGCATAACGATTGTAAAATGATATTTTTTATAAGATGCAGTTAAGGTAGTGCTAGCAAAGTTTACCCCTCAAACGCCTGCGTTCGGATTCCGCCGGAAGTGAGTTGTCCACTTTCCCGCGTGTCTGCTGGTCTTTATAGTTTCTTCTCGATGTCTCCCAGGTTTAGTTTCGATTACACATTCACATTCAAAAACTACAACCCGTGTGCTTCCGCTTGAGGCAAATTGTTTCGTGTATTAGGATGGGAAGTGTAGTTTACACGTAGTCGCCCGTATTTTGTGTCAACGGAGAATACCTGATTTAAAAACTACAGAACCAGCATGCTTTGCGCCTTAAAGGAATCACTCAGCTGCGGCTAACCGCCTATGCTAAATAGCAAATTAGCTTACAAGGTCTGACTATTAGCTATTAGCTGACTATTAGTTACGTTATTAGTGAGTTAATGAAATAAACGTTGAGGTAAGTGTCCGTTGCGCCAGTTGACTAATGAGAACAGACTGAGAATAGCTCTGTACCGTAACTAAAGCTACTGTTCATTTGCATGCACTGTCCTGTTTGGTGTAAATGTCAGGAAATAGACACGTATCTCAACCGGGAATCGCAGGTTCTGCCCTAAAATCATCACTATAGTTTGTTGACATATAAATAATGTATGTTGGTATTCACCAAATTGATGCGTTAGATTACGTAGAAGTGAGTGAAAGATGGGGGAATGAGGCTGATGAGCTGCTTTGAGGCTTCAGTCTTATGCAGACACCAAACTGGTTCTTCTTTCAGTTTATGTGCCGTTTTGTTGAAGGTAATCTTAATTTAGGATGATTATTATACACTCGAACAACCTCTTGTTCATTGACGCGGTTGTATGTTGGACTTTGCCTCAGATTACATGTGTAGGTTAACACTCGGAGGCTTCCCCTGTTTTGCGACCACGCACTCAAGTCAGTCGTATTTTATCATTGACGGAAATGGGCAACATGTGACTGATCCGCAAGAGGGAAGATCATTTAGTCAACAAATGTGTTTGGATTTTAAACTCAAAATGTCATTTAACACCACCCATAACCCCGCCTGTGAAGTGCCATTCACTTACAGTACAGAGCAAATCAGCAGATCCAAAGGGGAAAAAATCCTTAAAGGGGTCATATGATGCTTTTTTAAAGATCATTATTTTGTGTATTTGGTGTAACAGAATATGTTGACATGCTTTAATGTTCAAAAAACACATTATTTTTCAAATACTGTACATACTGTACATTCCTCTATGCCCCGCCTCTCTCAAACGCTTCGTTTTCTACAAAGCCCCCTCCTT